TTGAATTCTTGCTAATCTTGGATTCTTGATAAGTCTTGGAGTCTTGGATTAAGTCTTGATGGATCTTGAATTATCCTTTCTTGACTTATCTTGGACTCTTGACCTTATCCTAGGAGCTTCCGCCCCTAGGGGTGAGATGGGCCTCCATCATTCTCCCCCACTTGGAGAGAACTCGACCCCGAGTCGTGATGAGGATATGCAAGTGTTATCTCTGGCAGGTACCGGTGAAGGTCAGCAACGTTGAAGGTCTTGGATATACCCATATGATCTGGTAGGTCCACTATATAGGCATTATCATTAATCTTCTTCACGATCTTGTATGGACCATACTTCCGAGGCTTCAACTTGTTGTAGGTACCTACGGGAATTCTTTCCTTCCTTAAGAAGACCATAACCTCATCACCTACATCAAACACTTGAGACCGTCGGTGCTTGTCTGCGACCATCTTGTACTAGGCATTGGATTGCTCAAGCTTCTGCTTCATGGCCTCTTGGACGGACTGGATTTGTTCTGCCATTTGTTTCGCTGAGATACTGGCACTGGGTACTCTGGGTAGCTTCATTAAATCCAGTGCATGGTTAGGTACCTTCATGTATACGATGGAGAATGGGGACCTGCCTGTAGAACTGTGCACTGCATTGTTATAAGCGAACTCAGCCTGGGCTATGGCGAAATCCCACTGTTTTGGCCTCTCCCGACATATGCTACGAATTAAATTCCCTAAGGTCCGGTTTACCACTTCTGTTTGTCCATCTGTCTGCAGATGGGCTGTACTGCTGAAATTAAGTGATGAATCAAACAATCTCCACAGGGTCATCCAAAAGTGACTGAGGAACCGTGTGTCACGATCTGAAGTAATGGTCTTGGGTACCCCATGCAAGCGGACAATCTCCCTGAAAAACAATTTGGTTGTAGCAGATGCATCTGCTGTTTTCTTGCATGGGAGGAAGTGAGTCATTTTTGAGAATCTATCAACTACCACGAAGACGGAGTTCATGTTCCTCTAGGTATTTGGAAAGCCTAGCACAAAATCCATGGACAAGTCTTCCCATATAGCACTAGGAACGGGTAGAGGCATGTAGAGACCTGTGTTCTGGGTTTTTCCCTTAGCTATCTGACAAACATAGCACCTGCTTACAATGGTAGACACGTCCCTTCTTAATTTTGGCCAGTAGTATCGTCCCTTAACTGCTTCTACTGTTTTATCCCTTCCCAAGTGTCCTACTAATCCACCCCCATGCAAATCCCTTATGATCTTTTCGCGGGGGGAGGTGCAAGGGATACACAGTTGTTCCCCTTTCATAAGGAACCCATCATAAATAAAGAARYCMTCTRYTGGCTGCTTATTCATGCATTTCTCCCATACCTGTTGGAAGTCTTCATCCTGGGCATATAAGTCTTTCAGGCACTCAAAACCCACAATCTCAACACTGGCTACTAAGTGCATTAGCCACTTTATTTTGTTGTCCTGCCTTATACACAATTTTATATGGGAACTTGTCTAGGAAGGCAGACCATCTAGCATGCAAATCACTTCTTAATTGCTTTTGCCCACTAAGATATTTTAGGGTCTGGTGGTCAGTGTAGAGAACAAATTTTTTTGCAATTAAATAGTGTTCCCATGTCTTCAGGGCTCTAATCACAGCATAAAACTCATTGTCATAGGTGGACCACTT